GGCCCTGCCCCGCCCCGGAGACCCGTCCTCGGGTGCGCGGTGGAGGCCGCCAGCCGCTGCATGTGACGCTGCCGCGTTCGAGCTCCGCTGCGGGGGCGGCTTGTGCGTGTCGCCCGCCCGCACTGTCCGCCCATCATACTCCGTTGTTTAAAAAAAACTTTTGTTGACGGTTAGCACACATGCAGAAAAATGCCCAAGTCAAAGTGCACGGCCCAGAAGTTTCCACCAAGTGAAATCTCCAGTGAATTAGGACATCACCAGCTCCCGGGAGGTCCCCCAGTGGACCCTTTCCAGCCTCCTCCCACCTCCCCATGGGGAACATATCCTGTCTTCCTTCAGACCACGGGCCTCTGAATTGCTCGACCCCCTTGGTCTTTAGGACGCTTCTCTGCCCTCTTCTGTTACAGTTGTCCCTCCTGAGCGTCCTTTGCTGGATCCTTTTCGCTGCTGCATGGTACTCCATTGGGTGCATAGATCAGCGTTTATCTGTTCTACAATTGAAGGGTGTTTGGGTGGCCCCAGCTTTGGGCTATGACAAATACGACCATCCTGGACAGTTTTGCTGGGACCCGGCTTCCATTGCATGTGCCTGTTTCCATTGGGTTGTTGGGTACATACCTGGGGATGGAGTTGCCTCTCCCATCCCCTCTCTCTCTCTTTTTTTGCTTTTTAAATAGAGACAGGGTCTCACTCTGTTGCCCAGGCTGGAGTGCAGTGACCTGATTATGGCTCACTGTTGTCTTAAACTCCTGGACTCAAGCAATCCTTCTGCCTCACCCCATTCTCTCTTGAAACCGTTCCCACCCACCACTCTCCTGTCAAGTTACCAGAGCCTCAAGATGTCAAATCCAGTGGCCTGTCCTCTTCCTTTTTTTTTTTTTTTGGAAGGTGAGAAAGTAGGATTTATTAAGAAGACAGAAAAGCTCCCACAGCGGAAGGAGACCTGAAAGAATTTTCTGTCATCTTAATTGTGCCCTGGGGGGCACTGATAGGACTGACCTCTGGTCTCTGGATTGCGCTGCCCACTTGGCCTCTAGCACGCTTCTCTACCCTTTTCCTTTGTCACAGGTGTCCCTCTTGGGTCTCCTTTTTTGGACCCTCCTTGTTTCCAGTGTTGGAGCTCCTAGGATGTGAGCCGAGGACCCAGGGCGCCCAGCCATGCTTGCTCCCAGCATGCCAGTCTCACTCAGGCATAGGGGTAGTACAGGGCTGGCCCCCACACTGACATCTCCAGATGCCTGTGCCCGCCTGCACGTGGACAATTTAAAGAGCACCCTGAGCCAGGCATGGTGGCTCATGGCTATAATCCCAGCACTTTGGGAGGCTGAGGCAAGAGGATTGCCTGAGCTCAGGGGTTCGAGACCGGCCTGGGCAACTTGGTGAGATCTCATCTCTACGATAAATCAAAAAATAAGCTGGGCATGGTAACGCATGCCTGTAGTTCTAGCCTCTTGAAAGACTGAGGCGGAGGGATTGCCTGAGCCCAGCAGGTCGAGGCTGTGGTGGCCATGAGCGTGTCACTACATTCCAGCCTGGGCATTAGAATGGAACTCGGATTCAAAAAAACTCCCCCAAAAAACAAAGAATACATCCTGATCTGCCCTCTCATGGCCACTTCCTGTCCATGCCCTGGAGCCCTCTGCTGCAACCCAGGGTGGTCACAGGTTGTCTTGCCTCTCCCCAGAGCCTCCGGGGACTCCCCTTCTGCCTATGGCCCCGCATCACGTGGCTATGGCCCCTTTGCCTCTCGTTCTTGCTGCCTCAGCCAGGCCTGCCTCTGACTGCCTGACACAGTGCCTGCTCTGCTGCCCCCTCTGAAGCCCACGTGGCTTGCTTCCCCCTCCCCTTCCTGGGTCACTGCTCCAGCATCACCCCTTTTGGTGGGCTCCCCTGACTATCCCAGGCTTCCGACTCCTCATTCTCCATAGCAGCTGTCATCACCTGATAAACACAGTCTCTCTTTCTAGAATGTAGGCTCCTCGAGGGTGGGCTTCTGACCCTAACACCCCCAGCACCAAGAACAAAGCCAGGCACAGGCAGGCTCTCGATGGGCTGGAGGAAGGCACCTGGCCAATGTGGCTTTGGAAACGGCTCACTCGGGCTCTTTGACCATGTTTGTGGTCTGGGCTTCCTATCAAGGATGCCGTTAACAACCATGATGGAAGCTTTCAGAAATTAGGTGTGATTTTTTTTTTTTTTTTTTTTTTTGAGTCAGAGTCTCACTCTGTCTCCCAGACTGGAGTGCAGTGGCCGCTCCCGGCCACCGCAACCCTCGACC